AGAAGATAGTCAGTGTTTTCATTTAATACCAGATGAGAATAACATGACAGTGAAACAGAAGATTGGGTTTTTGTCTGGAATTGAGAAATATTTTGTCTTAAATTTAACTCACCTGCATTATCAGGTTATAGCAATGTCCCTTTCTTATATTCTGGCCTTTAAAACTTAAATCTGTCTGAAACCATTAGCTCATCTGTGCCTACTGTCAATGCTGTAAACCACATTCTTGAGTTTTTAAAAGGACTACCTTCTGTTGGTTTCAGATATCACTGTTGTAACTTAGATGTGGGCTAGATACTGTAGTAATAACTTGCATTTGGGATTTGTGGCTACAATTAGGTAGCCTAATTAAGCACATTAGGAATTGCATTGTATCTACCTCTAAGTAACTGTGTTTCCTTAGGGCAAAATAACATTTTTAAGTGTTGAAATAGTTAAAGTTAACATTTTCTGGACTTATTTCTGTCTAAGATATAATGATGACCCCTTTCCCACCTAGATACTCATACTGGGGGAAAATATTTAATTCTTTGTTCATATATTCTTAAATTTTTAATTTTAAAATTTTAATTCTTATGTTTAATTCTCTTATAAATACTAAATATTTAATTCTTTCAAGTATTCTTTTTTCATTTATGTGTTACGTGTGCATGTGTGTTTATGTGCTTATGTATGTCAGTAGACAAAACTTCGATCCTTAGTTTTGACAGTAATGAATTCTGAATGTCACAGTTAATCAGATTTTACACTAGAACTTAGATACTGGTTATGGTTGAACTTGGGATATTTAAGCTTAAAGACTTCAGAACTGGAATCAGACCCATATGGAATGATGTTATAGTAAATGAAGCAGCAGAATCACTTATTTAGAAGTGGTATTTCCTAGGCCCTTCTCTACTTTTACTGGATCATAATCTCTTGGAGTAGGTCATCAGCTCTCAGGCAACTTTTTTAATGCTAAGATTTGAGAATTTGTAATAAGGGAATTTTAGGAATAAATTCTATATTCAGTATAATAGTCTATGGACAGCATATATCAACTGCTTTCAGATTTAGGGAATAAACACTAGTCTGATGTGAAATTGATTTTTCATTCATTGCTCATTTTTCTTTGCATTTGGAAAGTACTGAGTTAGTAAAGTCAGATTGGAAAGTAGCACATTATTGGATAGAAGAAGCAGCCAAACTGGGTCTTATAGTATTCCGCTGTGACATGGAAAGTGAGAAAATTACCTATTTATATTATTCATACTTTAGAAGTATTTTAAACTCTTCGAGGTCACAGAACAACAGAATACCTGTGCAGAAGTTTGACCACATGGTCAAGTTATATTCCTTGGAAAACAATTAAAATAAGACATTGTATAAAGTAAAATGTGGAAGTATTTTTCTCCTTTTGCCCCCTTTCCACTATGTAGCGGTTACCTTTGTTTATTAAGTTTTGTGTGTATTCTTTCGGATCTTTTCTCTGCACATTTCTACATATCTACATATGTGTGTTCACGTATGTGTATTCATATTTTAAACAGTGATATGTACAAATTGCTTCTCTTTTTCCAAAGACTATAACAGTTTACGTTCTCATCACTGTAGTATATTTGCAGCCTTTAATAGTTTTCTGAGTATGATAGAGAATGTACCTTTACTATTAGTGAGTTTGAGGATTTTTTAAAAAATATATATTCTCTAGTTGTGTTTGTTGTTTGTTGATTTGCTTATTGATTTTTTTTTTTTTTGGCCTATTTTAAAATTGAGTTGCTAGGGTATTTTGTTGTTGTTGTTGTTAATTTGTTGGAGCTCTTTATATGTATGGGTATTTATCCTTGGTTTGTTACATTGAAATTCACATTTACTTGTAGCTTTTTAATGACATAATAATAACATTTTGCTTTCTGCTAGGAATTCTTCTAAATATTTTATGTGTTTTGGTTTAATTCTCACTGTTGTCATCTCCATTCTATGGAGGAGGTAACTGTTAAATAACATGTTTGAGCACGCATAACTACTGAGTGATAGAGCCAGAATTTGAATCTAAAAAGGCTCTATATTTTTCTTTTTCTTTTTTTTTTTTTTTTTTTGAGACAGAGTCTAGCTTTGTCACCCAGGCTGCAGTGCAGTGGCATGATCTCTGCTTACTGCAATCTCCGCCTCCAGGAACCTTGAACCTCCAGATTCAAGCCATTCTCTTGCCACAACCTCCTATGTAGCTGGGATTACAGGCGCCCGCCACCACACCTGGCTAAGTTTTGTATTTTTAGTAGAGATGGAGTTTCATTATTGTTGGTGAAGGTGTTCTTGAACTCCTGACCTCTAAGTAATCCACCTGCCTTGGCCTTCCAAATTGCTGGAATTACAGGCATGAGCCACTGCACCCAGCCCTATATTTTACTCTATGAAATCAAAACTGTTTTACTTAACCTTTGCTCTATATTTTTATCTGCAACTTGATACAAGACTAATTTTTTATTTTTTTAAGATATCTTTTAGAGGCTCTGATTATTTTAGTATAAGTATTCCCTTACTAATATTAATAAAAATATATGTAAGATATATATAATGCTATAATATGTGAATACAAATGTTCCATAAACTTTTGGGGATGTCCTATTTCTATTTAGAACCAACCCTCAGTAGCATATTCCCCTTTATTTTCTTGTTCTCCTGATTACCAGAATAGTCTGTTAATCACTGTGTTTGCCAGTTGTTTTGCTTTAATCCATTGGCGACTCTGCTGTCAGAATAATCAGTCATTTTAAGTACAATTTTGATCATATCATTCACTCCCTTGTTTGGAAACTCAGTGATACCATGTTTCATGCTGAAAGAAGGCCAGGCTCTTTACTTACAGAGCATTTGAAGATGTGTATAATTCTGCTTCACCTTTACCTATCCGTTACCTTGACAACTTTCCTTGGTACTTTAACTCCATACTGTAGATACATGGATTTATTTTTCTTCTTATACAGCCACATTCTTTTGGCTTCATGATTGGATAATTTAGTGTTTTCAATTAGCAGAAGTTGTTTGCAGGCTGGTTGAGCACATAGGAAATTTACTTAAGGATATTTGGTGCTTCCTAAAGGAATTATTAGGAAGGCTGGAGAACCGGGCTTAAGGATAAGCTTCCAAATAATATGCCTGAAATCATATATGAGAACTGTCAGTCTTCCGCCACCAAGCTGCCTAGCTGCTGCCAGTGGGATAGAAATTTTGATTCTGCAGCCACTGTGGGGCCACGTCTATCACTGCTGTTGTGGAAAGGTGATGCCTCTGCTGTTGCCTATACCACCCAAAAATGGTAGCTCCACACTGAGTCCATTTTATCATGTGACTTACTTCCAAAACCACAATTTTGTGCTGCTGCCTCTGAATGTCTGCATCATAGTTGCAGGGTGTACTGGATTTTGAGGTCTGAAATATATTTTGAGAGGGATGGAGTCAGTAATGTGAGAATTTTCCTGAATGCAGGAAGTTTCCTTAGAAGCTGATAGGCAGTCTTGAAAATGATAAATATCCCCTACAATGCTTTTGCTCATATTCCTTCACTTGTAATGTTTTTCCCATTTCATGTCCAGGTTAACAAAATCTGTGCCAAGACCCACTGGAATTTTATTTTTTGAATTAGTCTACCTGGCTCGTTTTAATCTGAATTTTCTTACAACTTTATCAACATAAATTTTTCCATAAGACAATATAAGAGAATACAAGTAATAAGTATCTTCTGGTATAAGAGTTGATCAGTGTGGGGAGATACAGAATAAATTGCAAAGGTCTCCATCACTCACTTCCTCCCCACACACTAATTTAAGTTGCTACCCCCTTTCTAGATATCCCTTGATTACAGAATTATAGTCTTTGGTTTTAATTTGATATATATGATGATAACATGGCACTTGATGGTGAATATTGAGTATTTAAACCCTTATTTATCTTTCAGCCTTTCATTTAGTGTGAGGGCCTCACCTAAAGTAATAGAAATTCAGCTATTTTGGAGGTAAAAATATATAACTTGGGGATTTAGTAAATATAAAGAGAAAGGAATCAAAGTAGACTCTAAGGTTCTAGCTTGGGGTGAATATAAATATATATATACACACATATATATTCATACATATGTATACACACACATATATATGCCATTAAATGATACTGGAAGTGAACCCTTTGGGACTATTTTTCATTATTGAAGGAACACCTTTACTCATTTCTCATTTCAATTAGAGTTTGGGGAGGTTCTAAAATGTTCAGATCTGGCATAGATTTTCACAGTTCAGGAAAGACACTGAAAAATACCATTTTTCTGACAAAGTTGTGTCTGAGACTTCATTGCTGGATTATGAATAAGACCTCTCAGTAAGGAGTTGGATTTTTCCTTTTAAAGATACAATACTTTAATTAGGGTAAATATAAACCTATTTTAAATAACTTTTCACCTATAAGTACAGTAGATGGTAAAAGGCTGTATATTATGTATCCATATTTAGAAAATCCAATTTGAAAGTATGTTGACTTGTTTCAGGTAAAAGGATAATAGTAATTTACTCATTTTGAGGAAATCTTTTTGAAAAGCTTGTGCTGGGCTGGGCACGGTGACTCATGCCTGTAATTCCAGCGCTTTGGGAGGCTGAGGCGGGCAGATCACCTTAGGTCAGGAGTTTGAGACCAGCCTGCCCAACATGGCAAAGCCCCATCTCTACTAAAAATACAAAAAATTAGCTGGACGTGCTGGTGGGCACCTGGAATCCCAGCTACTTGGGAGGCTGAGGCAGGAGAATCGCTTGAACTCAGGAGGCGGAGGGTGCAGTGAGCTGAGATCTTGCCACTGCACTCCAGCCTAGGCGACGAGCTAAAACCCCGTCTCAAAAAGAAAAAAAAAAAAAAAAAGAGAAAAGCTTGTGGTATGAATCCAGGTTCAGATTTTTCTTTTGGCATTTTGCATTTTACCTCATTCACTTTTGTCTGTTAATTTTAACTAATTTGACCATCTTTTTTCTTTCCAGATCATTCAACTTCAAGTGGCACATTATCTTTTAAACCTAGTCAATCATTGATTACTCTTCCTACTGCCCATGTGATGCCGTCTAATTCCAGCGCTTCAATTTCCAAACTTAGGGAATCCTTGACACCAGATGGCTCAAAATGGAGTACAAGCCTCATGCAAACATTGGGAAACCACAGTAGGGGGGAGCAGGACTCTTCACTAGACATGAAGGACTTCCGGCCACTTCGGAAATGGTCATCTTTATCCAAACTCACTGCCCCGGATAACTGTGGCCAGGGTGGCACTGTATGCAGAGAAGAGTCAAGGAATGGTTTGGAGAAGATAGGGAGGGCTAAGGCTTTAACATCACAACTGAGGACAGTTGGGCCTAGCTGTTTACATGATAGTATGGAGATGCTTAAGTTAGAGGACAAGGAAGTAAATAAAAAACGGTCATCAACTCTGGACTGCAAATATAAATTTGAGAGCTGTAGCAAGGAGGACTTTAGAGCCTCTTCCTCAACTCTTAGGAGACAGACTGTAGACATGACATATAGTGCCTTACCTGAAAGCAAGCCCATTATGACAAGCTCAGAGGTTTTTGAACCTCCAAAATATTTAATGCTTGGTCAACAGGCAGTAGGTGGAGTTCCCATTCAGCCTTCCGTAAGGACTCAGATGTGGCTTACAGAGCAGCTGCGGACAAATCCTTTGGAAGGTAGAAATACAGAGGATTCTTACAGTTTAGCTCCTTGGCAACAGCAGCAAATTGAAGACTTTCGACAAGGAAGTGAAACACCAATGCAGGTAAGGCTCAAAATCTAGTGTTTGCTTCCCTCCAGTGGATGTTATGAGTACAGTACCACACTTGCAACAAGCATATGACAAGTGTCCACAGATTGTTTTGCTTTTCCTTTTTCCTGCAAGTTAATAGGCAGAAATGTTACAAACCTGAAAAGTGTTGTTGGTAAACAAAACTTAAAAAGCATTTGAGACTAATTAACGTGAAAATCTGAAAACCTTGTACCTAGCTTGTTCTTTTCATTTGTTAAATGGGCATAAAATAAAGCAGAACATACTCAATCTAAAGAAACTTGGAAACAGAAACAAAAACGCTAGCATAGGTATAATAGAAAGAGCGTCAACTTGACCATATGAGGCCTTAGATTTTGTTCTCTTAGATTTAGAACCTGGATGATTTTTTCACTTAATTTCTCTGGGCCTCAGTTTCTTCATCTGTATGATGAGAAGGTGGAACTACAGTCATTTGTAAAGTTTTGGTGATTGATGATATATTTAGGTTTATAAATCAGATGTACTTATTTTTTTGAAAAAATTATGTGTCAAGACTTACTCATTAATCAGTTTATAGAAAGCACTTTATGATGATAGCATATATAAAGAAAAATAGTATACAGCCCCCAGTTGGTCTCGGGGATACCATGTTAATGTGAACATTTCTTAATCTGGGAATGTTTCTATTCTAAGACAATTTTCTGTAGCTTGTTTTAACAAGGAAACTTATTTTCTGATATAAATCCTGTCATCTATTTTTTATCATCAGAATTTTCTGAAACAAATTAATTCTACTAAAAATTGCAAATTTTCCCTAGAGTAAAAAATGTAAAATTACTATTCATTACTACTGCTAAAAAAAACAAATAGAATAAATGAACATAGGCTATGAAAGGATAAGGAAATCACTTGTCCAGGAACCTCACAAATATGAGTATGATCTCAAAACCTAGAACCCTAACATGCTGCATTCATAGGAGAACCTTTAAGATATCGCATGTTCCTTTTTTATTCTTATTTTGGACACAGTTCTTATCATTTTGACTATGTATTTAAACCACATAATCAAAATAGAAGAATCATTGTGATTGAATTAGAAATTTGTGATTTATCCATTCAAGTGATTAAAAATAGGAAACCTGATTTTTCAAATACTATCACGTTTTAGTTTTCAAATGTTTGTCATTATAGGAAAACAGAATCAGGCAGTTGTTTCTCCAGCTGGTGTCTTTACACAGAATTGGAGCTGTCCAGTGGAGCTGAGTATACTATTCCAAGCTAGAGTAGGTGTGATAGAGATAATTGGGCAAATTTCAAGGAGTAAATACTGATTCCTGCTTTTTATTCTGTTTGGACAAACCTCTAATTTAAACAAGGTGTTTTTCGTAGCCTCAAAGCAATGCAGAGTAGGGTAGGGAGGTTGGGGACACACTGTTGAGAACAATTTGTTTTTAAATCTTCTTTCTAGTACATAGTAGAGAGAGAAGGCTACTAACAAGCAAAATTTGCATATACCCTGGAAAGCCCTACTTCTTGATTAACTATGTTTGGGATGGTCTCTTTATAGTGCTTTTAAGTTTTGGAGTAGAAAGACGAATTCAGATAAAGAAAACTAGACAAACTAAGTTGTAATCATTAAATAACTGCTTCCCTTCTAATTTCCTCCTTGGAAAACTACAGAAAAAAGTTGTTAAATACCTTCTTGGAGCTTCCAAGTACTTTTCTCTTTATTTTAAAAGCTTTCATCATAGTTGTTTCTTAAAAGCCTCTTTGAAACCTTGACTTCTGGCCAGGCACTGTAGCTCATGCCTGTAATCCCAGCAATTTGGGAGGCCAAGGCAGGAGAATTGCCTAAGTCTAGGAGTTTGAGACCAGTCTGGGCAACATGGCCAGACCCCAACTCTAAAAAGCAAAAAAGACAAAAATCATAGAAACACTGATTTTCTTTTAGTCTAAGTTTTACATAAAGAGAAGAACATTAATAAGGACCAGGCCATCTGATAAATTGTGATTTGCAAGCACAACTCCTAAACACTGACCATGAAAGAACAGTATTTTTACAGCTAAGAAGAGGAATTTGGTTGAAAGTCATGATCTAATAAAACCTTAGATTTATATGTTACAGAATTCTGTAGCTTTCACAGTATTTTATCTCATTTGATCCTCACAGCTCCCCACTCCCCAGGTTAATTTGTAACATTGAAGGTTTGCTCTTCCTAGGACTTAGTCCAGAATAATTATTGAGACAGACACATGTTCTTATGTGTGTGTTGTTCCTTGGTTTACATGATTTTCTGCTAAACCATCAAGAGTATAGGAGTCTAGTACTCTGAAGCATTTTCCTTTGTGAATGAAGAGAAGCCATTATGCCCTCAGATGGTTTATGACAGAGGGCTCCATGTGTAATGTCCACTGCTAGTCTTTGACTCTTTCCTCTGTAGTACATCACATTTCTGCTACCCACCCCCTGCAACCCCTAAGCTGCCTGACTCTGTAAGGACTATGACAGAGGAGAAAAAGCAGTCTGGTCTTCTTTCTGGGAAGAATCCGTCCCTTTCCATGGCCTCCTTGAGTTCCTTTTCTTAGGGGAAGGTAGGGTGGAAGGGTGGAGGACAAACACTTCTACACATAATGGCAGTGTCCATTGGATTCCTGTAAGCCCACGATGGATCTCCCAGACAGTAGTGAAATAATAGTAGCCTCTTTATTGACGAAGTTGTTTATCCTTTTTTTCCCTAGGATGTTTCTGAACTTCAGGTGGCAGTCATTAAAAAGATGAAATTTTGTGCCTATTTAGTCATAAGGATGTTTGAACAGTTATGGTATTGGCACCTATGCATATTTTACTAGAGATTTTCCCTTGTATAGACAAAAAATTTGGACCAAGCGTAGTAACTCACCCCTGTAATCCCAGCACTTTGGGAGGCTGATGGGGGGCAGATAGCTTGAGGATAGGAGTTTGGGACCAGCCTGGGCTAGTGAGACCCCATCTCTACAAAAAATAAAAAGAATTAGCCATATGTGGTGATGTGCCCCTATAGTGCCAGCTACTTGGGAACCAGGGTTGGAGAATCCCTTGCACCCCAAGAGTTCAAGGCTGCAGTGAGCAATGATCATGTGACTGCATTCCAGCGTGCATGACAGAGTAACATCCTGTCTCTTGATTAAAAAAAAAAATGATAAAATGAGTTAAAGTAAAATTACTTTTTATCTAACACGAAATAATAATGAAAAAGTTTTATCTATAACTTGGGAGTGTTTAATGTATTCTGTTATGTCCTGTGAAAAGAAAGTTTTCTTATTTTCATTCTTTCTTATTTTTGTACTCTGTTCTTTTATTTTTTAACTGTTTGAGATAATTTATATATTCAAAGATGTGGACACCATGACACTCCCTATATTAGGATATGACACATACATTAGGTAGTTAAAAAGGACTTTTATATACATGTTTTAATGAATAAAATTAGTAATGTGTTTGACTTTTTTATCTGTCAAGTTTTCTATGTAATATTGGCATAAAATTCTGGACATTTTAAAGTGTGTTGTTACTTAGCAGAAGAACAGATCTTTTCTGAAAATTTATTATAGCCCTACTTTGCAAGAAGACTCAAAAATAATCAAAAGATAAATAATGTCTGTGTAGTAGCAATTCATTATCTTATATAGGTCTGCCCCCTTGTGTGTCTGTACTTGTGCATCTTGATTTTGTTTTATTTGGGGAAAGTCACCAAAAAAACCCCTGTAAAATCAAAACTAAAATTAGAATTTTTTATCGATAGTATCAGTTCTAAGTGTATTGTAGAGCAGCTTCACTGAGTTTTCAAGAACCTTCATTTTAATATAGTGATTCTGATTTGCATTAAACAAATATATATTCTTATCCAATTACAATATAAAAGGTAACATTAAGCATTTTAAAATTGTTTTTAGTACCCTGTAAATTAAGATAAGAACTTATTCTATGGTAGAACATATTTGAGCGTTTAGTATATTAAATTTTAAAAATAAATTGTTTTCTTGTATCTTATTCTTTACACTTTGTGATAAAGAATAATTATTTAAAGAGTTTATTCTACTTCATAATTTGAGTTATAGTATTCTGTAATCCTCACAGAATAAGATTTTAATTTTTATCAAAGAATGAAGAACAAAAAAATTAGTTATTTCTGTTTACTGAGAAAAAGATTGTAACGAACAATGTAATCATAGGAGTATGACTAATCCGTTCAAATTTTCCACTTGTTTTTAAGACCAGTGCAGCTTATTATAGAACTTGAATACTTTTTGTGTTGGTAATTTACTAAAACCAGTGAGTTGAGTGTATCACCTGTTATTTATAAGCTTTTTACTTGTTATTAGGGATTTCCAGCTTGTAGATGAGGCGTCACTTAAGAAATCTCTGCCCTTCTGTTCTTCAGATATCCCTGAACCAAACACTTTCCACTCCCCATCTCCAGTACCTCTCATGGGTTCAGAAAATTTAATGGTGTCTTCTTCACTATTGAGTTAGCAACACTTGTGTAAGAAACCAAGGTCAATATTGATGTTATATATTCTTTTAGTAATCATGTTTTAGAAGATATGGTTAATTACACATCCTCTACTCTTTTAATAATAGTTATATTAGTAACATGTCTTCAACTGAAATTAAAATTGTTGGATTATGCAGTATAGGTGTGAACTATTTTAAACTTAATTTTAACCTAAGTTTGGTGAACATATTTTCCAGCACTAAATTTTACTTCAGTTGTTTTATGAGTTATTGGAAGATGTTCTGAAATGATCAGAGGAGAAATTGAAAATTTATTCATCAAGAAAATAATTATAGGTAACATTGCTGCATCTATAATTAAGCTCAGTAGAGTGGCCTATGAAATAGATGCTTGCCATTTGGTTGATAGATGAAGAAAAATAGCTATCTCCTGTTACAGTTGACCCTTGAACAACAAGGGCTTGAATAGCGAGGGTCCACTTATACATGAATATTCTTTTTCCCCACTCCCCACACCCCTAAGACAAGATTGCAAGACCAACCCCTGCTCTTCCTCCCCGTCTTTCTCCTTCTCTTCCTCCTCTCAATGTGAAGACAATGAGAATGACGACTTTTATGTTGACCCACTTCCATTTAATGAATAGTAAATATATTTTCTCTTCTTTACAATGTTCTAAATAACATTTTCTTTTCTCTAGCTTACTTTATTGTAGGAATACAGTGTATAATACATATAACATGCAAAATATGTGTTAATTTACTGTTTATGTTATCAGTAAGGTTTATGGTCAACAGTAGGCTATTAGGTAGTTAAGATTTTGCGGACCCATGGATTGTCAGCTCCCCTAACCCCCATATTCAAGGGTCAGCTGTAGATGTAATAGATGGGCCAACAAGTTCATTTCAAAATATAATCTAAGAATTAGTTAATATTTGGAGAGAGAATTCATATTTTTATTTTTTTAAATACTTGAGATAATGTATTTTTTTGTCACTGGAAATCTTGTATTATTTTCCTTGCCTGCATTGGATGTTAGGTTGGAATGGAAGACAACCTGTAAAATCAGTCTGAAGTCTTAAGGTTTCATGATTCCAAAGATACAGCGTGGTAAACTAGGTAACTCTAGGTCAGATAATTCACTACAGTGTCTTAAATGAAGATTAGATTCTATTCTGTTAGTATATTAGTGATATGACTAATCTCACTGTTACATATTAACCCCCAGTTCTCATCTGTTGATCATATGTCTTAGAACAGATTTATGGTTTACCTACAGGTACTAGAATTCTGTGATTCTTTGAAAAAATTACTTAAGAGTAATTTTATTATGTAAGAGTATGGCCTTACTTTTCCATACTTGATTCTCATCAACTTTAAAAAATGTTAATGTGGCATAGCAAAAATGCAATTTCTGTTTTAGAATGTTACTACAAAGAGTTACTACAGAGTTCTTTATAATAAGATAACAGATGTGAGGAGTCAGTGGACTGTTTTGAATAATGACACTTCATTTGTGTTATTACTTTGATACTTGGTGAAGACTTGAAAAATACTTAGTATTAAAGAAGCTTTTACAGTGTAATATAAGTTATATTTACCTCAAAAGAGTAAAGATAATGCTTGATATATGAAGTGAACTTGTTGGCAGTGCAGTTTCAAAACTAAACTCTTATTTCATCTTCAGAAAAGATTTGGGATACAAATTTGTGAGCCATGTTGAGGAAATCAACAGTTACATTTTATACACTTATTTTAAAGTTAACTTTTGAAAATAAAGCCCTTTTCATGTTTACAAGATCCAGCAGATGAATACATTTGCTAACAATAAGTTTTAGTCTTAATCTTGACCTTTTCACAAAGAAACTCTTCTACTCAGGAAGTGGTCTGTTTTACAGTATTGTTTTCCCGTCTGCATGGGATGACAGATTTTAAGCTGATGTGGCAAGTTGCAGATCTAGAGGTTGTAGCAGAACTTCAGAGAAGCATCACGATGATACAGATCAGCAAGAGACATATTAAGATGAGACAGAAATTGATAAATAGATTCTGTAGATTTTGACGTGCTTGTTGAGGCATTTCAATGGTTGAGGCTCTTCTTATAGCTGAGCGAGTGAGGTATTGGACTTTCTCCATGATACCAGCAGGAGAGGAAGTCTGAAGTTTTAAGTGATTGAGAGAAGGATAAAAAGCTGGTAGCCAAATATGAGATAACTGTCTTCTTTTAGGTAGCCTGGAATGTAAAAATAATAAATGGATTAGAATAATATATGTAACCTATTATCAGGACAAAAAATACAATTTTGTATTAATTCATCTTCCTCAGCACTATTGTTATTTATAACATCAAGTGTTTCTATAGTCTCTCTCTCTGTGTGTGTGTGTGTGTGTGTATGTGTGTGTGCATGTGTTTCCATGTGTCTCTCTTTCTCCTTTTTTGATGGGGCACACCGTGACAGTCTCATTTGTGTTAGGAGTAGTAACTTCAGTCTTTGCCTTTTTCTCCCAAATTTACTACAAGTATTGCAGTAATCCTCAGTGTCATCCATAAGTTCCTGGAAACCAAGACTTTATGCAAAACAACATATAACAAAACCATTTTTACCCTAAGCTGATTGATGTAAATAAGAGGTAAGTTCCTATAGCACATTTCTGGTCACAAGAACATTACCAAACTTCTCAATAAAGACCCCAAACACTTCTAATATTAAACGTTGAGAGAAATATGAATTATTTGTACATTTAAGAAAGATTAATAAAAACCAGATAGGCCGGGTGCAGTGGCTCACGCCTGTAATCCCAGCACTTTGGGAGGCCAAGGCGGGCAGATCCCCTGAGGTCAGGAGTTTGAGACCAGCCTGGCCAACATGGTGAAACCCTGTCTCTACTAAAAATATAAAAATTAGCTAGGCTGGTGGCATGTGCCTGTAATCCTAGCTACTTGGGAGGATCGCTGGAGCCCAGGAGGCAGGGGTTGCAGTGAGCCCAGATCATGCCACTGTACTCCAGCCTGGGTGACACAGCAAAACTCTGTCTCAAAAAAAAAGCCAACAAAGATGATTACCCAGTATTTCGTGAATCAGTGAGTAACAGTGGTTGTGATGGTCAATTAAAAACATGGAATCAATGTTTGAGAAATACAATGGGATCTCTGAGTGCTTTTGTGCCATAGCATTTATTGTCATGCATTTGTATGATCACCCTAGACTTTACCAGTTTTTATTTGATAATAATTTGTATTCATCCATTCATTCATTTTTCAACCCTCTTATTCTGGTTTGGGGTGCTGGTGGCTGGAGCCAATCCCAGCAGTCAAGGAGGGAGGAACCCACCTTGGATAGGAGACCACTCCATCACAGGATACACTCATGTACACACTCACACTCAACCCAGGACAACTTAAACACGCCAGTGAACCTAATGTGCACAGTTTTGGGATATGGGAGGAAATGAGAGTCCCACAGATATGGGGAGAACATTCAAGCTGCACACATACTTAAATGTTATAACAAAATGACATAGAAGGAAGTGATGTTATTTGAGGACCTGCTGTATTTGGTTTAAGGTACAGCTCGTTTTGGGTTATTCTTTTGGGTAAAAGTTCTCACATATAGTTTCTTTAAATCTGTTACACTGTAGATGTAATTGGTTTGATCAGTTACTGTATTAATAGCTCCAGAGCCAATCTCATAAAAAGGAAATGCATACAACAAATTGTTCCCTGGATCTTGATTTTACTCCAAAATAAAATAGTGTTAAATGGGAAGTGTTATACCAAAAATATGGATTCAAATTGTCATTCCTTTTTATGATTTTATAGCTTTATAGAATGTTATCTTAACTAACATTTTAATAAGATTTGATTTTAAGTACTGAAGACTATCAAGCTTGGAATGCGTAGTAATTATTATTATCTCACCATCTACCACAGACATTTTCTATTTACAGACCTCTACTTAATAGCAGTAGTTTCCATCATGCCTTTTTTCAGTGATCCCACAAGCTATTGCTGCCTGTGGGGTCTATACTTTGATGATTAATAAATAAGAACTTACATGTTATTACAGAAAAATTATATATAGACTGAAAATTAACTGTATTAACTGTCCAGAGATAATGGTTATTAACACTTGGGGGACATTTTGTTTTCAATCAGGATACTTCTGCATCAATTTTGAAATAAGAAAAATAAAAAATGGAGTAAAAAAGTTATAATTAATTGCCAGACATAGTGACTGTTAACATTTGTTGATATATTATTGTTAATCAACATATTACTACCTTACCCCAACTGTCAGATTTTATTTTCTCCTAAGTCTTTTTATACATCTCATAAAAGCCTATCTCAACCTGTTAGCCCATTCCTGAGAGAGGAAAGTGCTGAAGGGAACAGAAGGAAGTACTGAAAGAATGGCAAAGGGGAAGGTAGGTATCAGGCCTGACCAGTTAGAACCCAGCATTTACTTTTACAGAGAAACCGTATGGTTTATGGTGTTTAGATTCTGTAGTGTTCAATAGTTCAACTTGGCTCTATTATATTCTGAATTATATAGTAGACTGGGCCTTTTTTGGCTTGAGACTCTGTCCTCCTTCATAATATTGGTCTGTAGCAAGGAGTTCCAAAAAGCCAACTTCTATCAAATTTTCTTTCCTTAAAGAGTTATTAACAACCTGTATTTTTCTAGCATGTATTCTTCATTGTCTAAACGGTGGCTAACGGCTGTTATTTAGGTTGTCTGTAACAATTCTACTTAGAAAATAGCAGCTTATAAAAACAGAACTGCCATTTGACCCAACAATCCCGTTACTGGGTATATATCCAGAGGAGTATAAATCTTTCTGCCATAAAAACATACACGTATGAATGTTCATTGCAGCACTATTCACAATAGCAAAGACATGAATCGGCCTAAGTGCCCATCAGTGACAGAGTGGAAATGTGGTCGTATACACCATGCAATACTGTGCAGCCATAAAAAAGAAGGAAATCATGTCTTCTGCGGGAACATGAATGAAACTGGAGGTCATTATCCCTAGCAAACTAACACAGGAAAAGAAAACCAGATACCACATGTTCTCACTTTTAAGTGGGAGTGAGATGATAAGAACTTATGAACACAAAGAAGGAAACAACAGATGCTGGGGTCTGCTTGAGCGGGGAGGATGGGAGGAGGGAGAGGAGCAGAAAAGATAACTGTTGGGTACTGGGCTTAATACCGGAGTGATGAAATAATACATACAAACCCCCATGATGTGTGCTTACCTATGTGACAAACCGTCACACATACCCCCAAACTTAAAAGTTAAAAAAAAGGAAAACAGCAGCTTAAACTTGACATATATTTAATGATGTTTGTTTGAATTCTTCAGGTAAAATAGAAATAGATTTTCTTTCGTTCTTTATTAAGATTCATCCTTTAAGTTGTTTCTGTTGATAGTTGATTATTATAGATCTAGTGGATTGGAGAATTACGGGAAGATTTTATTTATTTATTTATTTTTTTGAGACAGAGTCTCGTTCTGTTGCCCAGGCTGGAGTGAAGTGGCGTGATCTTGGCTCACTGCAAGCTCCACCTCCTGGGTTCACGCCATTCTCCTGCCTTAGCCTCCCAAGTAGCTGGGTCTACAGGTGCCTGCCACCATGGCTGGCTAATTTTTTTGTATTTTTAGTAGAAACTGGGTTTCACCGTGTTAGCCAGGATGGTCTCGATCTCCTGACCTTGTGATTGGCCCGCCTAGGCCTCCCAAAGTTCTGGGATTACAGGCGTGAGCCACTGCGCCTGGCCGAGTAGTCACCTTTTATGAAGATACGTAGCATAATACAGATAAGAAAGGAATAATAATTAGCCTTGGTAATTCCTATTTGAATATATGGTTTTGTGAGGTTTTTGGGCTTAGCTGGTCTTAAAAGGTCAGAAATTTTAAAAATTACTTTGAGGCAAAACATGGGAAAGGAGGGAGTTGGCCAGGAGTTTATCATTAAGCATATATACAGGAGTCATCCCCTACCTTGACACTGATAAGTTGTACTTCAGTCACATGAAACATGTCACCTTTCCATAAATACTCCATTCGCTTTTGTGATTTTATTCTTTGCACATGTTGTTCTATCTCTGCCTGGAATGCGTCCTCCACCTTTTGATTCTCTGCCAGGCAAGCTTCAGTTGATTCTTAAGGTTCAGTTTAAATATCACCTCCTGATGAAACCTTTCATTAGTTATTAAGGTGGAATTGGTTGTCACCTCTACTGGTTTTTAATAGGGCTTTAGTGTTATCTATATGAGGATATCTATCAGATTATAGCACAATTTCAGTTTACATGTTTGTATCCCCAACTAGACTTGATAGTTTCCGAAGTAAAGAAACCATGTGTTCATTTAGTATCCTAGTCCTTAGTGCATAATTGGTATGTTTCAATAAATCATTAAAGTTAAATAAGGGATTTTTATGACTAAAACTATTAGAAAATTGTAAATAAAAAATAATGCTGTGGGCAGGTCACGGTGGCTCACATCTATAATTCCAACACTTGGGAGGCCTAGGCGGGGGGAACGTTTGAGCCCAGGAGTTCAAGACCAGCTTGGACAACATAATGAGACCCCATCTCACTTTTAATTAATTAATTATTTTTATGAATGGATGAATGAACGACAGGGTCTTGCTCTGTCACCCTGGCTAGAGTGCAGTTGTGCAATCATGGCTCACTGCACCTCAACTTCCCAGGCTCTAGTGATCTCCCTGCTTTAGCCTCCTGAGTAGCTGGAACCACAGATGGGCACCACCATGCCTGGCTAATTTTTGTATTTTTGGTAGAGACAGGGTTTCACTGCGCTGCCCAGGCTGGTCTCAAACTCCTGAGCTCAAGTAATTCCTGGGATTACGAGTGTGAATCACCATGCCTGGCCCTCATTTTTAATAATAAGTTAAAAAATTTTTAAAATAATGCCGTGATTGACAGATTAGTTCTAATAACAATTTGTTAGTTGAACATGTAAGCTCTAATATTCTCCTCAAGCCTCTTTCTATCACAGATGAGAAAAATGAGGCTTAGAGGATTCACCTAAATTAATGGTCACCTGATTAACATAATATTAACCTGAACTAGACTTTGTATAAATGGGTTTTTAGTATTTGTGAAATACAAAGATGTGCCCGAAAGAGATGAGCTCTCTGCTGTTTAAAGCATAATTAACATACTTTAAAGATGATCTTATAATCCTACAACAGCTAACT